CAGGTCCAGAAAATATGATCATATTACCCCAATTTTACAGTCTCTGCACTGGCTACCTATTAAGTTCCGTATCAGTTACAAAATATTATTAATTGCCTATAAGGCCCTTAATGGGTTAGCTCCTGCGTACCTAACTAGTCTTCTACCACGCTACAATCCATCACGCTCCCTAAGGTCGCAAAACTCTGGACTTTTGGTAGTACCTAGGATAGCAAAGTCCACTAAAGGAGGTAGAGCTTTTTCGCATTTGGCTCCCAAACTCTGGAATAGCCTTCCTGATACCGTTCGGGGTTCAGACACACTCTCTCTGTTTAAATCTAGATTAAAGACACATCTCTTTGGCCAAGCATTCAAATAATGCATCTCATAATCTTTTACTGCAGTTATATCTGATCAAATGCACATTATTATTCTTTAGTTTGGGTTAAACAAATAAATATTGCTTGGTTGGAACAGCAGCTACGCTAATTATGTCTCTATTTGTTTCTCTGTTTTTGCCACGGGATGTTACACAAGCTTCAGTCTGGATCCAGAACACCTGAGAAGAGATGATGTCAACCCCTCATAGCACCTCAGATGATGCCAACCCTGAAACAACATACAGAACTACCACATTTTGCTATAAGTTTGATTGCATCATATAATAATTGCTGTTAATAGTGTTCATCGTCTGTTTGATTATGTCTTTAATTGATTTTTCCGTACATTTCTGCCATATGTAAATTGACTGACAGTCACCACTGATAAGCTACCACTAAATATTGTAGAAACTTAATTTGCTGTAAAGTTGCTTTGCAATGATTTGTATCGTGAAAAGCGCTGTACAAAATAAACTTGAAACAGTAACACCATCAACTGAAACACCACTGACAGTGACACCACCAGCAGTAACACCATCAACAGTAACAGCACTGTTAGTAACATCATTGACAGTTTCACCATCCGCAGTAATGGTACCACCAGTAATACCATAGACAGCACCAGTAGTAAAACCACCACTGACAGTAACGCCACTGACAGTGACACCACCAACAGTAACACCATCAACAGTAACACCACTGACAGTGACACCATCGACTGTAACAGCACTGGCAGTAACGTCATTGACAGTGACACCACCAACAGTAACAGCATAAACAGAACCACAATTGGTAGTAATGCCACCACTGAAAGTAACACCATCAACTGAAACGCCACTGACAGTGACACCACCAGTAGTAACACCATCGACAGTGACACCATCAACAGTAACAGCAATGGCAGTAACATCATTGACAGTATTACCATCAGCAGTAATGGCACCACCAGTAACACCATCAACAGAAACTCCACTGACAGTGACACTAGCAACAGTAACACTACTGACAGTAAGAGCACTGAAAGTAACACCACCAGTTGTAATGGTACCACCACTAACACCACCAACATCGACAGTAAGACATTGATAGTAACACCACTGACTGTATCGTAATAAACAACAACATTCAAATTGGCCGTTTAAAAATTATAATATTTAAAATTAAATTGTAGCATGTAGATATTACTCAGTTTTTAGATGTTATCCCAGGTTTTTATAATCCACTACTGTCACAGCGGAGACCAGGACAACTAGATGAACCCCAGATACAGATCCCCTGTAAAGACCTTGTCTCAGACGACCACCGGGACAAGACCACAGGAACCAGATGAGTCCTCTGCACAATGTGACTTTGCTGCAGCCTGAAATTGAACTGCTGGTTGTCTGGTCAGAGGAGAACTGGCCCCCCGACTGAGCCTGGTTTCTCCCAAGGTTTTTTCTCCATTCTGTCACCGATGGAGTTTTGGTTCCTTGCCGCTGTCGCCTCTGTCTTGCTTAGTTGGGGACACTTCATTTCCAGCGATATCGTTGACTTGATTGCAAATGATTGCAAAGATACTATTTAAACTGAACTGAGCTGGATGATGACATCACTGAATTCAATGTTGAACTGCCTTTAACTGAAAAATTAGTGTTTACTATTGTCATTTTGCATTATTGACGCACTATTTTCCTAATTAATGCTGTTCAGTTGCTTTGACACAATCTGTATTGTTAAAAGCGCTATATAAATAAAGGTGACTTGACTTGACTTGACTTGTCACCTGATGGAGTTTTGCTTCTTTGTCACTGTCACCTTTGGCTTGCTTAGTTGGGGTTTAACATAATATTCACTTAAAAGACATGTAATATTGCCAATTTAACTGCACTGACATTGTCAGATAAGAATATAATTAATAATTCTAAACTGACTTAATCTGGATAATGACACTAACTTTGCAGCAACATAAACATCATGACACTGATTGGCTAATGGCACTCCATCCTTTTGGTGCTATTGTATTGCGGTAACACTACTGATATTAAAAATAGTTGACAATTGTTTATTACTCTAAATTGTTAAATACAATTTTATTTATTTAACTTTTTAGTTATTTCAGTTTCTGACAATGATTATTTATACAACATTATTCAATTATACAACAGGCTTTTTTGCTTCTTTATTACTTTTTTAAATTGTAAATTGTCTCTGATTATGAAGTACTGACATATTTTAATACTCCAAAACATAAATTAAATTAAAGTAAATATTTAAAAGAATAATTACATATATTAATTAAGTAAAAAGTCATACAGTTTTGGAATTACATAAGAATGAGTAAATGACAGAATTTTCATTTTTGGGGTGAACTATCCCTTTAAGCAGTCTAGCTGAATCAGTTTAAAAATTTGAATCATTCAGAGGAAACCCTAACTAGACTGTCTTAGGAATATCAGCACCGTGCTGCCGTGCAACCATGTAAATATCATCCCTGTGAAAGCCAGAGCTAAAGCCATGCTGTTTCATTTTCACTGCACCAACAACTGCAGCAAGCCACAAAGTCACACTGACCTATTCAACACCTGTGAGCTGTAACACAAGCCAATAGCACGAGTGCCACACATGACAACAGCATTATGCATTCGCTCTTATTGTGTCTTGCTTGCCATATTTTCCAGCAGAAAAAAACCCTGTGCTTGTCAGTGCGTATTCAGATCCTTAGACATTAAGGGACAATATTCCTGGGCCACGAGAGTCACATGATAGCCACTGATCAACTGTAAGTGCCAAAGGTTCCTGGTTATGAAAGTATCCACAGCTTGGAATAACATGACCTTTGCTGAAGTGAACATGGCAGTCGTGTGTGTGTGTGTGTGTAAAATCTATAACACACAATACAATATGACGTCTGGTGTCTTTATACGTCAGTTTTATTTCTGCTTTTTTTTTTTTTTTTTTTTTTTTTTTGCCCCAAACCA